CAATAATAATAATGACCGTATAAAATTTTTAAGAATGAATCGATAAAATTTTGAGAAGTTGCCAAAGGGATAACAACCCTAGGTGAATGTGCAAATTTCTTATATAATTCCAGCTTTTCTGTCAATTAAAGCAACTATACAGTGAAGCGAAATTATCAGAAAAAAATAATTGTCTTTATTATTATTTTTTGCTCGTAAAGCTAACAAAGCATAGATATGTATTTAAGCAAACAAATAGAACATGTTACAATATAAATGAAGTGATACGTCAATAGTTTTGATACTCGTACGAAAGTATTATAAATAATACGAACACGTAATTTATTTGAATTTTTAAAATTTACATACGTGTGTACATAATTCATTCTCGCATATCACAAGTCATTCTTTAATAATTTCTCATTATCTCTTTTAATTAACTCTTTATAATACATTTGTGCAGTTATCCTCTCAACTATAACTCCTTAATTAATTTCTATACATGCTTAAATTAGGAATTTTTCTCGGCATCGTTTTATTTTAATATTTCCATTGTCTTACGTATCGATTCGAGTATAATGGTTTTTAAATAGGGTATGATCTCAATTACAAAGACCTATATTTTTTTGTCAAATAGACCATCATCTAGCTTGGTGCAATGAAGTGTTCCATTTCTGAGGGATGACCAATCACGTGAAAATGACCCAATAACTATTGTCTGCACCATTTAAAAATATCGATACTTAATTAAATATTGATCGAATTGGACAAATACAAGTTGTGGAATGTTTGCTTAATATTTACCATTATTCTAATTTATCAGTCGGCAGAAGATAAATTTGCAACAAATATTTATTGCTTAATTAATTACTTAAATAAATTAGCATTTGGACTTTTGACGCCGAATTGCTCCCTTTAAAATTCCTAAGAGCATAATTATCTTATCAAGATTTCCAAAACTGAATAAAGTATTCAATGATTTACCAATGCATATTTATAATTAGGTGATTAGTATATATTTTTCCCCCAGGGATAAAGGTTATTTTTTGCATTCTAAAATTAAGTTATTGTTCAGAATTTGTGCAATTCTCCTTCGGTGAAATCTGTTGAGACCGTCTGGTTCAGAAATAATCAATATTTCAAACATAAAGAAAAAAAATATCTTTCAACAAATACTGGAAAATTTATAGCTTTAGAAAATTGCAGAAATTATGCTATTCAGTAATGAACCTTTATACAAGAACATCGTCGAACCGTGAAAATGCAGAGATATTCTCATTCTCCTATCGGAAGGACGATTTTAAGTAATTATTTTTTAAAATTTATTTTTATAGTTAATATTAGAAATAAAACGTGTTTCTAAAATGCAGATTTTTTAGAAGTTTGGAAGAGTTTGACGAATTGTCTTTTATATGATTGTTAATTGGAAATGTTTGCATTGATCGTAGAATTACTGCACGAAAGCGTCCTTGTCGTGTCGAGTCCGAGGAGCTCTGGGAAATTTCCACTGTCGCTACGGAGACTGCTCAGTTGCGGATTTCCGGTTTTTCAGCCTTAAATGACGCAATCCAAGGCGCGCGCATACTTCAGCTGAGAGCAATGGTGACGTCACTTGCGCACTGAACTAATACGACATCCACTGAGAGGAACGAACATTAGTGTTCCTCGTGCCAGGGAAGGAAGCCCATCAGCTGATCCGGCAGCTTCGGACATCAACCCGAGACTTTATAGATCTCGCTTGTTTTTCCTTCAAGTTTCGTGACGGAGATATTCAGTAAAATATCAGAAGTCAAGTGCATGTCCCGATATGGCACCGAGACCAGAATTGGAGCGATCCACAGGAAATTTATGCACCGCAGACTCTATTGGGCATTCGACGCCCGTTACCTCACACAAAGGTGACATCAAAGATGGGACTGGATCGCCTCGCTCACTTAAGAGCGATTCGATCACCGTTACAGTCCCACCTGACGGCGGATGGGGTTGGGCAGTCCTTTTTGGCACCATGCTGGTCAATCTGGTGACCATCGGACATGTCAAATCCTTTGGGGTGTACTTCCCCAATCTCATGCAACATTTTTCTGCATCTCCTTCGCGCGTAGCATGGATCCAGGCGCTACAGATCTCCACCTGTACCTTTCTATGTAAGTGCTTTTTCTTTTCTATTGTCAAAATAATCAATATTTTGATTTTTCAGCCCGATTTTTACAGCATTTGCCATCTTCGTCCGATTGTCGTTTTCTAAATTACGTGTTATTCACCTAAAACTTTTTGCCTATTTAACACAGATATGTGAATAATCCCGATTGATTCCCGATTTTACATTATTTCTCCATGCAGAAGATATTATTCTCATCGGTCGGAGAACGGACGATAGATATCGATCATTGGCAAACCTTTCGACAACGAATG